TAAAGCAAACCCGCCCTTTCCATCCGATATTTCTTGGTGTTTGGTTTTGTTTTTCCCACTGAAAACAGCATCGGATCGATTCCCAATGATCAAAGGTATTTAACTTGGTCTTCAACAATCGACAGAAGAGGTGAAATGACAATGACCAAGGGACTAGAAGAGAATCCGTGGCCTTCCTAGCTCAAGAATTTCAACACTCTAGGCAGCAGTTGAAAGATTAAACTCTTTCCAAACCCCTTCGGTAACTGCCCGAAAACATCTCTCCTTCCCACGATGTTCTCGTTAATAAGTTTTTGTTCAGATTTTAATTAGCTAACCGGAAACACAGCTAAGCTTTCTCTAAGCGCTTGCTGGAGGTCGTCCACGAACTTAAGCCGTATTGTGAACGACTTTACTACAAAGCGAAGATTAGATTTTGGCGCGCACAGAAAGCAGAAAGCTACGTAGGCGAAAGCGCCAGTTGCTCGACATACCTGCGTGGCCCGTGCGACGAAATAACTTCACGGGATTGGCAAAGTTTCAGTCACAGCAAATTATGCAAAAAATCTAGAAAGATTTAAGCTTAAATCTCGTTTAACGTTTAAAGCGACATATCAATGACTGCAACCATCGTGTTGTATACAAACCTCGCAAACTTTAAAACACGTTCTCTAGTGATACCTGCGAAAGTATTCAGTATAATTTCCGGTAAGATTTTCGCCGACAATCTGATCGATTTCTCTTACATTGTGTGCTGAGACTGAAACTTTTCACCTCAAGCAAATCTCCGTCGCACGGTCCAAACAAACATAGCGAGCAACCGAGCGACTGGTGTATGTCCGTGTTAAAACACACGAAAGGACTCTAAAGCACACTTCACTCTGATTGGGCAGAAAAACACAAAGATTTTCTGGCACCAATCAGATCTGCGACAGTTTGGAACTAGTCTTGTAAGACAATGTCCCCAGGGGCTCTTCATGCCCTAACTTGAAATCGACTCAGCCCCTGGGTCTCCGAGGATGGCACAATGGTTGGATGCAATGCTTTGCGAATTAAGGTGTTGTCTATCAGATCACGCGATCCGTCTAATAATTACATATTAATCAACTCAAACCAAAGGATCAGAAGCTCTCATCCGGGTGACTGAAGACGACAAATCGTGAAATTTGAACCGCAAAGTGCAAATGTTACAACAAACGTCTGAATTATATATTTCAGTCCATTGCCCGGAACTCATTGCCAAGATCTCGTCTGTAACTTCCACTATTATCTGCCATACAATTCTTATCATGAGAATTGGAGAATTCGGTATCGGATCAGCTGATGATCCCTAATTTATATACTTCGTTTATTCTCATCACTTGTCTGCTTGATATTGTATTGACCTTGTGAGGAGAAATTCTGTGTTGATCACTTGAGGTTAAAGGGTTCAGCTACGTCGTTATATGCATCTCCAGCTTTGGACCATCACAGACAGTTTGTAAGGAACAGAGCGGGTGAAAGATGTACACTTAGGAATCAGTCATTACATAAGGGGGAGGTGTCATATGGCATCATTTTATGTGCTTTTGCTATGTAAGCACTTTATGCCTTTTTTAACCGTCCCCTCACCTTTGTTAGAGCTTAGCAAATTAAAACTCGATAATGAATACTTATATCAGATTTACGTTTTAGATAATAAATCTGCCATCTTGTCTGGATTCTATTTGTTGTAGCACTTTCACAAACAAAGCTTGACTGTTGACCCAAAAATCCGGACCATAATATCGAAAAAGAAAGAGTAAGAAACCTAGAAATCGACAACACGCGCTAAAGTGTCCACGTTTCAACAAAGTAAGCGGTCAGAAAACATGTAATGCACTGTGGAAGTAAGGAGAGATAATTTTAATGACAATTAAGCGGTATTTTTACTTCCTAAGAGCGGTCTAATTATTTCCATACAAACTCGTATATTTTCACTATGACGCGGCTTATTTCGCAAAGTGATCATCTGGCAGCTGGAACTTGGGCTGCCTTTGGTCCGCTTGATGTTGTATCGATATTGTAAGGGAGAAATTCTATCTTGGTCACTCAAATGAGTTAAAGAATTAAACGCGAACAACAGAACCAGCTTACCTTTCAGCGTAACTAAAATTTATAGATTTCTTCATGGAAAGTGCTGAGATACGATATATTTACACATGAGTTTGGTTTACGATAACGAACGAGCAAGGCTTTGCGAACGAGTGAGTCAAACTCCCTTGTGGACAGAGTCTCTTCAAATGACACAAAAGTATTGAATGTAGTGGCTCGTAATAGCGGGGAAAACTAGCTTCAGTGCGAGCACACCACGCTAAGCGCGTACCAAGGACTGTCAACCTGTCCTTCTCAACCATCTTCAATTTCTATACTCTGATTCAATTCTATTTAGTTACATCAGACTCGTTTCATTCTGGGTAACTCTAGTCGACTGATTCTAACTTTGATTGATTGTTCTCTCTCTCTCTCTTCTACTGAAGGAGCATGCTGGCCAACTGATCTTAGAATATGAACATTTGTCGTCAAACTCTAACCTAAATACTTTGATAATAATGTAAACAGTAAAAAATCAACGTACGTGGTGCATTAGATCAAACCAAGGCAGTGTTTGACTATTACTATTGCTCACTTGCTTGGATGAATTTGGTGCGACCCACCTATGTCGTGGATTACCAGTGGCAGCTCTGGGATAGAGCTGTGCAAAATGTTCGTTAGCATCATGGTACTTCCAGTCTGGATCTGCTTCCTTCAAGCGTAAGAACATCTCTCTAACCTTCCTTTCGGCACGTTTCTCTAAAATGCCATCGGGGTAGAAGCTAACTTTAGTCTCTCTATCTTCCTCCGTTTCATTCTGGTTTTCCGCAACGCTGACTCCTGGGTCCTCGTGGATTCCTTCGCCTCTGTCGTCTCCATTGCTGTTCCTTTGGATTTGGTCTCCACTGGGCTATTTAATATCACGCAATCCCTGGAAGAGCTCCATAAAAAATCTCCAGAGCCCACATCGCCTCACGTTATACAAGAGTGTATTCATCTATAAAATAATAGTCATAAACGTGATTTAATGACTTCGCTATATAGCTAGACTTTCACTCAACAGAACGAACATCGTGATCAGTTGATTCTTGGTCACGTGCACCTGATCAAATTCAAATGTGTCCCGACCGGGATATAATTGCGTACTTGTTGCCCGCGCGCCGAATGCAACAGCATGTTCTCGCCATATGGTTGTCTAATGGAAAGTATAAATATTTAAAAAGGCACTAAAGGTATGGTCCCTCAGGAAACTAGTTAGTTTTGTTTTCCCTCTAGTCCTGATGTTTTCCGAGACGAAGTTGAGGGGAACACCAGGACTCTTGGGAAAACAAAACTAACCGTTTCCCTTGGGACCATGCATAGACACCACTGGACACGGCAGATTGAACATCATCTGCTGACGCACAACAACAGCGACAATAACAAATCAAAACAAAAATAAATCGAAACGAAAAAGACCAAAACAAAAGAATAAAAGACACGAATTAAAAGTGTATTTGAAAAGGCTTAAAGTGACAGTCCTTGAGCATTCAAAATCAGCGGAAAATTCAGGTAAACATTGTCTGTGAAACAAATATTATGATCAAATATGCCACATCACGACAAATTGTTACGTTCAGCGGGATCGTATGACTGATATCCGCAACAACAGCAAAGACAGGAAAATTGAAAGGTCTACACATGTTCCGCACTTTTCAAACAATTATATCTATGCAATTTTATCGAATAGTTCGCGCGTCTTGTTTCAAATCAGAACACCAGTCTCTGCTGGTAGGAGATCAATGATATGTACCAAAGCTTTGATGAAATCAGCCTGTTTCAAGTATTCTTAGATTAATAACCTCGAATTGAATAATATACAACAAAAACCTAACAGTACCTTCTAAGAAATCTAGATCCTTGAACAAGCATTCCTTATGAAAATGATCATGGTAGTTAAAATAAGCGTGACCCCTACAGCCGCCAAGGCGTAAAGTTTCGACTTGGCCCGCGCAGCGCTTGCCTTTTCGAAGTGCTCGTTGAGCTCTTTAGATTAGTTACCGGTGCTCCTTTTTCTTGGGGATCCTGCCCTGCCACGCTGCACACGTAGTAATCTTCCTGCCAGAATGCCGCCCACAACCAGACAGACGCACCCACGAACGACCTAACTATGGTGGGGAAGGTGTGGTGACAGAAGAAGCCAAAATGACAAAAATCCCGGACTAGACACCTTTTGTAAACGTCCCGGATGTCCACGACGAGTAGCAAGCTGACGAGGAAAATGATGAGGGCCGGAAGGTACAACCAGCAGCGGCCAACCATTTGATGTGTCTTAGAGGGGCAGTGAAAGGCTGCGGAATTCACCACAAGTTCAAGCACAAGCACGGGGAGTAAAACAACCGCGTACGTCAAAGTGGTGCTCTTGTTAGTGAATCTGCTTATGATGCCTTTCTTTCCACCAGGTGCAAAGTGTGTATTCATGACGTTGCCTCCAGTCCATTTGAGATGTTCAGACATAACGCTGAGATCTAAAGCCTCGATATCCTGGGCTGGTTCGATCCCAGGTGGCTTAGCCCCAGATCCTTCCTCCCTCGCAGCCATTTTGGTTTGACGGTGGAGCTGCAACATTACATTGATGGAAAGTTTAAGTAAGTCAGTGCCTTCTGCTGCCTAAAGTTTACATTCTTCTGGGTTTTTCAAGCAAGCGTAAGCAAACACGAGACAAGCGCATGATAGACGAGCAACTTTTACTTGCTTCCACTCCGCGCCGCCTACGAATAAGCACTGCACTTGGGACAGGAACGTTTATGAGCGTCGCGATCCCGTTAGAGTCTTTATTCCAAGAATTTCACAAGCTGCAACGATTCATAAGTAGTTGGATATCTTTAGAGAAATCTGAGATGCAAAATCTTTCGAAAGCGCAGGTTCAGACTTGGAAGGGACGTACCCTCTCAGGCTAGAGCTCGCACCCTCAGATCAAGAGGAGGTCAGTGAGATCAAAGGTTTGCCAATTCAATTGAAAAAAGACGGAAGAAACAGATGGTGACAACCAGAAGACTATGCTGTTTCATGTCTGCAAAAAATTGAAATTAATGAATCAACATCCAATTTGACCGTCGTTGTGAACGTGGGACTCTTAAACCAACATTGAACTGGCTGACAACATCGGACTAGTAACACAAAATTCAATTTAACTGGTGCCAACACTGGACTACATTATCAAGTAGTGTTTTTGATAGGTCTTAACTGGCTGTTGCTGTTTGCAATTAATCGTGCAATCTCGCCAGTTTCTCGGTAATTTCTCGGTAATTTCTCCCTGAAATCTTACAGAAATCTTTCCTCCTCAGGAAAACATGAAAGACGATGCGGTTTACCGCGAGAGCGAAGCGTTGGCCTGTATGACGCCGTTCTCATCATCCAATCCATGATTGTTGGCAAATTTGGTACGCTTGTAAAGGATTCAGCATCGAAAGACTCATCGCGGCGTTCAACTGAAATCATTACGTCAAGAAATTGCACAAGTATCTCTGCGATCCTAGTTGAAACGAGCAAGTGACGATTGAAAAACCTTCCAAAAGAAGTCAAATCGCGGTAATTGAGAACTTCATGTAAACGGATGTTACTAAAGTTGGAGAATGGTAATGAAGAACGGGGAAGGGGGAATAGGATATAGAAAATAGAAAATGAGGAATAGGGAATGATGAATGAGGAATGGAAAATAAGGAATGGTAAATGGAGAATATTGAATGAGGAATGGGGAATGAAGAATAAGTAACGGAAAGGGAAAACGGAAAATAATGAATGGGGAATGGGGAACGGGAAAACAAATGAGAAGTTGAAAATGGGAAACTAATATTTTTGGAGATTTTACGTTTACAATGCGTGATAGATATTTTCAGCGTTGATTATCGATATCCACGCTTTCTTTCCAAAAAGTTGAGAGGAGAAATTATGTAACAATAAATTTATGTTAACACCGAAAGAATGTTTTAACTTTATTTGTTTCCATAACAAGTGATAGGTAGAATTAGATTTGTTGCGATTATTGAAAAAGCTATATTGCTGTTTACTTGAAAAATTAGTAAATTGGAAGTTACAACAACAACAACAACTTTATTTATACTCGATCAATTGGAGCTTGTTAGGCTCCTAGCCTTACAAAAAGGCTAGCTGTTGAGTACTTGGATTCTCCAGAGTCCAAGTCACTACTCATTTCTGAATGACAAGCGAGCCCACAGTCGAATATCCTATGAAGGTCGATGGTGGACTAACTGTTTGAATCGTCGTTTCTTTATAGCGTTTCGTCGTTTCCGCTCTCCGCTACTACTAGACGAGTCACTGTTTACCCGAGTTCGACTCGCCGTTTTAGAGGTCGACTCATCGCCTCGTGGGTTCGTTTCGTCGTCTTGTCAGTTCGATTCGTCGGCTTTACGAGTCCGACTCATCACCGACCACATCGGTTCGTCGTCGTTTGTCGTTTTCCCATTTCGTTATGGCGTTTCATCGTTTCGTTATGTCGTTTCGTCTTTTCGTTATGTCGTTTCGTCTTTTCGTTATATCGTTTCGTCGTTTCAAGGCAAAGTGAAGACTCTTAAACACAGCGACTACACTAGGTGATGGTTTCGCGCCAATCTTCACATTCGATTACGTCATGCCCCTAGCAGATCGCTGTTCCATTTGCCGTTTGTATTTTTGGTGGTTTTTGCAAAACAGCCCTCACGTCACGCCACGAGCAAGCTCGACGATTGGCCACAGAATCGAAATATTTTATGTAATGCTAAGCAATTTAATGTTCAGCTAGAGTGTCTGATATTCTGCAACGCTATTGGACGTAACGCTACACCATTTGTGTGTTCAGTGTACCATTGCACATTGCGCTGAGCCATTTCAAGCAATACTACACTGTTTGTAGGTACGCTGTACCATTCTACATTACGCTGAGCCATTTCACGCAGCGCTACACCATTTGTGTGTACGCTGTACTATTTGACATTACACTATGTACGCTGTACCATTCTACATTACGCTGAGCCATTTCACGCAACGCTACACCATTTGGGTGTACGCTGTACCATTTAATATTACGCTGAGCCATTTCAGGCACTGCTACACTGTTTGTATGTACGCTGCACCATTCTACATTACAGTGGGCCATTTCTCGCAACGCTACACCCTTTGTGTGTACGCCGTACCTTTCGACATTATGCTGAGCCTTTTCACGCAAAGCTACACTGTATGAATGCTGTACCATTCGAATTTACGCTGAGCCATTTCATGGAACGCTACACCGTTTGCGCGTACGCTGTGCTACTCGATATAACCCTGAGCCATCTGACGCGACGCTACACCGTTTGTGTACTGTATTGCAAATGAGCGCTAGGCTATTCGCAATTGAGCTAGTCCATTTCACAATTTCATGCTCCAACTCGACATGGGCAACTAGACCGTTCATCATTTGGCTAAACTATTCAAGTTTAGGGTGTTCTGTTTCATGAAGGAAAACTAAGCTGTCTATAATTTGGCCATGCCATTCCTTTATTAGCTATGCTATCATGCAACTGATCCTTGCACTTTTGGTGGTGACAAACTCACGGAGCGATGAGTCGACTTCTAAAGCGGCGAGCCGAACTCGGAAAGCAACAACTCGACCAGTAGTAACGGAGCGCGGAAACGACAAAACGCCATAACGAAACCGTATGAGTCGAACATTTTGTCCACGATNGTAAAACTTGTAACAATTCAGTTTTTTCGGATTTTGCGTCGTTCAAATAAGCTACCTGAGAACGAGGGTCGATCTCCGCGCCCGACATAATTTGCGCGCTGAATTGGACACGCAGATCATCTGTAGACATGCTGTGATACTTCATACACTTCGAACAGACGAGTCTTTTTCTTTACAACACCAAGAGAATATAAACTGCTACTCTGTTGATACTACTCAATAGTATAACCCTTTACAGCCTAACATCAGTCTGCATATTCTCCATACTGTTCTCTATACCTTTTCAAGTTCCTGAAAAGGAAAATGTGTTAAATAATCAAGAGTTTCTTTAGTTGGTGATCTTTTCCTTTATTCTCCTGACCCTAATGTGAGATTTAGAGGTAATATTGTAAGGAGAAATTAGATGCTGGTCACTCTTAGTGGGCGAGAGGGTTACGGACTTTTTTTTGAATTTGTGCGCGCTTTAAACAAATCTATGTTTTCATTTCTGTACAATGTATTCGGCTATATTTTCATCTTGAATTTGTCTGGACTGTAATAGCGCATTCGTTTAAGATAGTTTTGTGCAACATAAAACAAGGACATTGGCCTGACTACTCCCCCTCTCAGTGGCTGCGTCCCCTGTCGGGGGGCAGCGGAATTCCTCGAGCATTTGGTTTTTTCATGTAAAATATCGTGTAGATTCTGAAAAAATTTTTTTATCCTAGCTTAAAGATAACTGTACTTAACAATTATTCCCCGAGCGCGCGTTGGATATAAGATGATAGATAGCCAACTCGGCGCTATGCGCCTTCTTGGCTATAATCATCTCATATCCAACAAGCGCGGGTGGAGTAATTGTTTTATTTTAAAAAACGCTCCCAAGATATTAGACAAATGTTCTCGACTTTATTTTGTAAGAAGAAACCGCATGTTACAATGTACAGATATTAGATTATGGTATATTGGCTCACATACCATAATGGCTAAGCCAATAGAAAGTCTTGAATTGCATTATCCAATGATCCAGTTTTCAATAAAAAAAGAGATATAAGTCCTTTTAGCAGCTTCGTGTTGTTCATTCTCTATGTTGTCTTAGTAACTGTAAATGTCAACTTAATGCAATCATTCCAGTTCTTATTTAGTTTTGTTAATTGTAAGTGAAACAGTGTGAGTGTTTATCTTATCAAATGTATTGCTAATTGATTACCTAAGCGGTCTAAACTATTGTAACAAAATGCTGTAAAAATAGAAGTAATTCAAAAGAAAAACAAAACCAAACAACAACAACAAAAACAAAAACAAAACCAAACAACAACAACAACAAAAAAAACAAAACCAAACAACAACAACAACAAAAAACAAAACCAAACAACAACAACAACAAAAACAAAACCAAACAACAACAACAACAAAAAACAAAACCAAACAACAACAAAAAAACCAAACAGCAACAACAAAAAAAACAAAACTAAACAACAACAACAAAAAAAACCAAACAACAACAACAACAAAAATAAAACCAAACAACAACAACAAAAAAAGAACAAAGACGGCGCCCACCATGGTAACTGTTGACAGCTTTAGATCTAAAGCTGCACCAGAAGAAAAGCAACCTGCAATGTGACTATTACTGTGGAAGGCAACAGATACAATACGTGTTCAGTGCTAATCCTTCTTTCCTTCTTGCAATCTATCGGTTTCAATTCAAACTCCAAGAGTGTGCTCCGAACCAAGCTCCTACACGTTCATTTCTCTTGGGAGCAACCTTTGAAGATGTCTAAGACGAGCTAACTTGCCTCCCTCTGGCCAAGAGCTTGGTTGACATTATTGGTGACCTAAACTGTATTGTTGGTGCGACATCATCAGATTGCAGCACTCAAAAACTACTAGATCTCTGTGATAGTTACCAGTATAGGTGATTAATTGATCAGCCAACACGTATAATACAGCTTACATCATCTATTATTGATGTGTTTTTAACTAATCATCCGTGGAATTTTTTGGACTCTGGAGTCACTGATATCGGATAGACACT